CTGGGTGGCTCAGTGGTTGAAGCCTCTGCCTTCAGCTCAAGTCACGGTCTCAGTGTCCTAGGATCTAGCCCCGCATCAGGCTCTCTGCTCAGCAGGGAGCCTGTTTCTCCCTCTCTCTCTGCCTGCCTCTTTGCCTACTTGTGCATGCACGCGCACTGACGCTCTCTTTCTCTCTCTCTCAGGGTCAAATAAATAAATCTTTTTAAAAAAGAGAGAGAGAGAAGATGGTACCCCTGGCTCTGTGGCTAATTATCAACTTAGACATCATTCCGTAGCTGGAAGCCTGTACCCCATCCCTCTTCGTTTTGCCCATCTCTCCACCCACCTGCCCTCTGGCAAGCATTAGTTCTCTGTATTTATGGTTCTGGTTCTGCTCTTCATTTGTTTTGTTTTTTAGATTCCACCTGAGAGTGAAGTCCTGTGGTATTTGTCTCTCTCTGACTGGCATAATACTCTCTAGTTGCATCCATGTTGTTGCAAATGACCAGATTTTAATCCTTTTTTATGGCTAATATTCCAGTGTGTGTGTGTATGTGCCCACATATCCTTTTTTTTATGGCTTATCCCTTCTTTGTGGATAATATTCAATTGTGTATGTGTGTGTGTGTGCGTGTGTATACATATACACACGCACACACACACACACACACACACACACACACACACCACATCTTTATCCATTCATCAGTCAGTGGACACTTGGGCTGTTTCCATATCTTGGCTATTGTAAATAATGCTGCAATAAACATACAGGTGGGTGCATATATCTTTTCAAATTAGTGTTTTCATTTGGGGGAGGTAAATACCCAGTAATGGAATTACTGGATCATAGGGTATTTCTCTTTTTAAATTTTTTTGAGGAAGTTCCGTGCTGTTTTCCACAGTGGCTGCACCAGTTTGCCTTCCCACACAACAGTGCACGAGGGTTCCTTTTTCTCCACATCCTCACCAACACTTATTTTAGTGTTATCTTTTAGATTCTAGCCATTCTGACAGGTATACGGTGATATCTCACTGTGGTTTTGATTCACATTTCCCTGATGGTCACTGATGTGGAGCATCTTCTCATGTGTCTGTTGACCATCTGGATGTCTTCTTTGGAGAAATGTTTATTCAGGTCTTGTGCCCCTTTTTAAATTGGGTTATTTGGTCTTGGGGGTTATTGTAGGAGTTCTTTATATATTTTGAATATTAACCCCTTATCCAGTCCATCACTTGCAAATATTCAATAGGTTTTCTTTTAGTTTTGTTGATAGCTTCCTTCTCTGTGCAAAAAAAAAAAAAAAGAAGCTTTTTTGGTTTGATGTAGTCCCAATAGTTTATTTTTGCTTTTTGTTTCCCTTGCCTCAGGAGACATATCTAGAAAAATGTTGTGAAGGCAAATGTCAAAGAAGGTACTGTTTATGTCTTCTTCTAGGAGTTTTATGTTTTGAGGTCCTACATTTAGATCTTAAACACATTTTGAGTTCATTTTTGTGTATAGTATGAGAAGGTGCTCCAGTCTTCCCAGCACCACTTACTGAAACAACCTGTGGCTCCCTGTTGTATATTATTGCCTCCTTTTTACAGGTTAATTGACCATATAAGCATGGTTGATTTCTGGGCTCTTTATTCCATTGAGCTACGTGTCTGTTTTTGTGCCAGTAGCATACGGTGTTATTATGGCTTTGTTGTATATCTTGAAATTCAGAATTGTGATGCCTCTAGCTTTGTTCTTTTTCAAGATTGCTTTGGCTACTAGGGGTCTTTTGTGGTTCCATACAAATTTTAGGATTATTATAGTTCTTTGATAGGGATTGCATTAAATTTATGGATCGCTTTGGGTGTATAGGCATCTTAAAAATATTTGTTCTTCCAATCCATGAGCATGAAATATCTTCCCATTTTTTTGTGTTGTCTTCACTTTTTTTCATCAGTGTTTTATAGTTTGTTTTTTAATTTGACAGAGAGAGAGATCACAAGTAGGCAGAGAGGCAGGCAGAGAGAAGGCGGGGAAGCAGGCTCCCTGCTGAGCAGAGAGCCCGATGCGGGGCTCAATCCCAGGACTCCGAGATCATGACCTGAGCCAAAGGCAGAGGCTCAACCCACTGAGCCACCCAGGTGCCCCATCAGTGTTTTATAGTTTTTAGAGTATAGGTTTTCTACCTCCTTGGTTAAGTTGATTCCTAGGTACTTTATTTTTTTGGTACAATTTTATATGGAGGTTAACATTTTTTAAAAGGAAAAACCATCTTCTTCCACAGTCCTGCAGGCATCCCTGACAGAGGGCCCTTGGGAACAGGGAGGGGTAGAGATGGGGGTGAACTTAAACTTGGTTCTGTATGCCCGCAGCTGGTGCACAGAGCTCTGCCATCACCCACTGAAAGGCGTGCCCTGCAGTCGAAACGACCAGCTCATTTGTGGCACCACATCCGGAGAGTGGGGCCCAGCAAGGATTGTAGCTTTCATAGCCACTAGTCCACCATCTTAAAAAAGGGGGGGGGGGCACCTGGGTGGCTCATTTGGTTAAGTGTTGGACTCTTGATTTTGGCTCAGGCAATGATCTCAGGGTTGTGAGATTGAAACCTGCTTAAAATTCTCTCTCCTGGGGCGCCTGGGTGGCTCAGTGGGTTGGGCCTCTGCCTTCGGCTCAGGTTATGATTCCAGTGTCCTGAGATCGAGCCCCTCATTGGGCTCTCTGCTCAGCAGGGAGCCTGCTTCCTCCTCTCTCTGCCCGCCTCTCTGCCTACTTGTGATCTCTGTCAGATAAATAGATGAAATCTTAAAAAAAAAAAATTATCTCTCCTGCTCTCTCTGCCTCTGCCACTCCCCTTCTTAAAATATGAGAGCAACTGGGTGGCTCAGTCTTTAAGCGTTTGCCTTTGGCTCAGGTCATGATCGATGGGTCCTGGGATTGAGCTCTGCTTAGGCTTCCCGCCAAGCAGGGAGCCCAGTTTCTCCCTCTCCCGCACCCCTTGCTTGTGTTCCTGCTCTTGCTGTGTCTCTCTCTGTCAAAATAAATGAATATTTTTTTAAAAATTAAGAAATTTACTATCTCAGTTCTAAGAACCTCTCCTGGAAAGGTGAAACACAAAATTCTCCTGTACCTCAATTTATAGAAGGGGGGACCCAGGGTCACCAAATTACACAAAAGACTACCGAGACGAGATTTTGCAAACTATGTCCCATAGAGAAAAATGATGTTTTATGTTTGAAGGAATCTGGGATAACCACTCAGGAGGACAGAATTAGAGGGGTTTTACCAGCAATATCTCTCCACAGCTTGACTGAGAACTGGCCTCCTGTGTTCCAGTTCACTCATTCAGTCCTCTTAACCCTGTGAGGCAGATATACCCCGTTTTACAGATGTAGAAACTGAGACTCAGCCTTCACGAGGCAAGCACAGAATGTGAACTTGCCCAGAGTGGACAGTGGCTTGTGCTGTTTTCCAGCTTGTTTGGCCCAACATTCTGTGCATAAGGAACACTTACTAAAGTTCTGAGACCTTGGAACCTACTTAGTGAAGTGTCCCTCTTCAGACTGAGGGCAAACACGCAGGCACAAACAGAAGCACCAGATATTTCTCCTGATGACATTCTTTTGATCTCTGGTTCGTATTAAAGGCCTTTACCATGCAGTTATTTACTGTCTTTAGGGTTGCTAATTAAGGTAAAAGAAAAAGCTCTGAAAGTTACGTATGTATTTTCACCAGAATGCTTTTATTAAGACGAGAGTGATTTTTATGGCATGTAATGTCTGCTCTAATGTAGTGGGAAATGACCAAAACTCATTTGTCCTGCAGAGTGGTGTGGAGTTGATGGTATACTGCATTTGTGGGTGGTTGTTTTGTTAACTTACAGAAATGGGAGTGGTTCAGGTCCAGGAGGATAGAAAAGGTCCTTGGGCCAAACAAGGAGGGGAAATAGCCAGACAGGCAAGTAGACCAAGAGGTTATCCTTGCTGCTTGCACTCTGTCACCGTCAGGCTGAAATAGAAAGTGGTTGAGAATGGATAAGAAACACACACACACACGACTGTTACTGAGCCATGAGAAACACGGAAGTCCTGCTGTTGGCGATACCTGGATGGAACTTGGGGGCAGTATGCTAAGTGAAGTCAGGCAACGATTATAATACCATATGAGATCGCTCATACATGAAATCTAAAGAAGCCCAAAGGACCCAAACTTCCAGTGCTAAGAGAATAAGTTCTGGGGATGGAGTATACATGGTAATTATAATTAATACTGTATCATGTACTTGAAAGTTGCTGAGTAGACCTTAAATATCCTTGCCACAGAAAAAGAAATGGGAATTCTATGACATGATGAAGGTGTTAATCATTTTGCAATGTCTAAGTATCCAGTCAGCCCATTGGACACCTTAATCTTACGCAATGTTATGTATCAATTATACTTTAATAGAGCTCAGGGTGGGTACTGAGAAGTCTCAACCCTCCCGCAGCCCAGGGTGAGAAGCTGGAGGAGAGGGTGGCAGGGCCCACCGGGGACTAGAGGGAGCAGGACACTTGCCAGCAAAGGTTTTGTGTCCTGCCCCTCACTGTCCTGGGCCTCTACTGTGCAGGCCCTGAGCCAGCACCTGCCTGCCCCCCACCCCCGCCCCCAGCCCACCCCAGAGCCTGGGGCAGGCCCATCACCAGCGCCCAGAGATACACATACATGCCTGCCCCACCAGAGTCGCACATTTACAAATGAGAATTTGGTGAGAGCTATTCAGCATCCCAGCCACTCTGAACTCTACCTGACCCTGTTGCCAGCGGTAGAGTCAGTATTCCATACTCAGCTCTTGGCTGAATCTGTTTTGCATGAAAGGCACCTTCCCTGACAAGTGAGGTGAGCACCCTTCCTCCCCCAGCACAGGGGACTTAGCCAAATCAGGCAGCGTCACAGACGCGCTTCCCTCTCGGCTTTCTGAAGGCTGCTGGAGCTTATGCCTGAGTTAGGACGTGGCGGGGTGTAGGGAGGGAAAGGAGACCTCAATGTCCTGTCCTGTGTGTTGCAGCTGGTGAGCGACTTGCTGGAATTCTGCTTCTACACCTTCCGAGAGTCCCAGGCCCTGAAGGTGGAGTTCCCCGCGATGCTGGTGGAGATCATCAGCGACCAACTGCCGAAGGTGGAGTCCGGGAACGCCAAGCCCCTTTACTTTCACAGGAAGTGACGGAGGACATCTCACCAGGAGAGTTTTGCCTTAAGTTTCCCCATGCTGTTCTACACCCACAAAGGACCCAAGAAATCCGGTTTTTCACGTGTGATAGCTGATTCCTACTTGTTCAGCAGTTTTTCAAGTTTAAAATCACGTCAAGGGTTTGGAGCCGGGAAAGCAGTGTGACATGGATTTGGCAAGACCTGAGCAGTCGGAAGGATTCTTCCCTCTCCGCTCCCCAGCGCTTAGAAACATGTTCCTGTTCCTCTGGATGAAAAGCCATATCTAGTCAATAACTCTCTGATTTTGATATTTTAACAGATGGAAGTTTTAACTATGCCATGTAGTTTCTGGTATCGTTCGCTTGTTTTAAAAGGGTTCAAGGACTAACGAACTTTTTAGAGCTTACCCTCGGTTGCACATAAAACGTATAGTCAATATGGGGCATTAATATTCTTTTGTTATTTAAAAAAACAAAAAAAAAAGAAAAAATATATACAGATTCCTGTTGTGTAATAACAGAGCACGTGGAGGGCAACAGCAGCCCCCCTGGGGGGTTCCTGTCCACCCACGGGCTTCTGCATCACTGGTATACACACCCTTAGCGTCCATTTATTATTTAATTAGAACAGATAAGATGTTAAACAAATGCCTTGGTTTCAATTTCTAGTATCTATTGTGTTGGCTTTACAAATAATTTTTTGCAGTCTTTTGCTGTGCTGTACATTACTGTATGTATAAATTGTGAAAGACCTGAACTAAGGTGTAAGGAACTTTTGTAAATGAGACACATACAAAAACAAACAAAAAAAAACCCACAAAACACACACAAAAATAAACTTTAATGGTTGATAGGATGAAGGGGAAAGTATTTTTGAAAGAATTCTATTTTGCTGGAGACTATTTAAGTACTATCTTTGTCTAAACAAGGTAAAAATTTTTTTTGTAAAGTGAAATGTTCTGCATGCATAATGAACCGTTTACAGTGTATTTAAGAAAGGGAAAGCTGTGCCTTTTTTAGCTTCATATCTAATTTACCATTTTACAGTCTCTGTTGTAAATAACCACACTTAAACCTCTTTGGTTGTCTTTCAGCCTTTCTACTTTTTCTGTACTTTCGTTTTGTCTTTGGTCTCCCGCTGGGGGTGTTCCTGGGACTTGAGCAGGTGCTCTGGCTTCTGCTCTGTCCTGCGTCTGTCGGGGAACAATGGGCTGTGGTGTCTGCAGCTCCTCGAAGGGGTCATTTGACAACACATGTGAGCGAAGGTCCTGGGAGGCTGCAGCTGTAGGAGAGCGGCCTCTTCTCCTGCTTTCCTCCTGAGGCAGCATCTGCTCTAGGAGCACGAGGCTGGAAGTGCGATGGCCCAGAGAGCACAATCTCGTCCCGTTTTAGAAAACGGCATTTTCTCCTTCGGGAAAGGAAATTCCAGGCACCCTATCTGTAGAAGGTGGCATGTTCATTTCTGGTTTGGGAAAGAGGTTTTGTGCTCTCACAACAGGTAATGGGGACACGTAGGCTGCCGCAGGACGTACCAGGAAAGATGCATTTTGGCACAGTTCAGTCAGAATGGCGTGGAGACCATATATTTAGAGGGTTTTTAGATTTTTAAAAGGTAGGTTTTAAAAATTTTATACATAAACAGTTTTGGAAAAAAAAACTACAGATCATATAAGCAAGACAGTGGCACTAAAATTTTTAATTCATTAATCTGTTTGGCACTGATGCAATTTATGGCTTTTCTCTTGCCCCAAATCACAAACCTATCTATCTTTGGGGAAGCTTCACAATATGATTGCACTTAAACAAACGATTTTGACTAGAGGCCAAATTAATCTTTTTAAAAGTAATGATAATCATCAGGTACTCAGTGAAATCGCATTATTTTCCAGAACCTAAAAGCTGTCGCTGGAGAAGCCCTAGGCCAGAAGAAGGCAGCGTTGGGATCCACACTCTTCTCTAGGGTTCACCATGCAGGCAACATTACCTTGTCTTTCAGAAGACACCTGCCTTATGCAAGGGGGAACCTGTGAAAGCTACATTCAGAGGGAGGAGTTTTTCTTACATAATTTGCAATTTCAGTAATTTAATTTATAGGCAGATCTTTAAATACAGTCAACTTACATGCACAGCAATATGAAAGCCACATTTGAAGGGTGATAAATACACAGCATGCAGACTGGGAGTTTCGAGGAAAGACACGGCTTACAAGAGCAGCTTTTAGCTCAGACTTACGTTTTATGAAATTGGAATTTCAGTGTAACCAGGTTTGGGATGGAGACAGTCTGCATCAGCTTTTTGTATTAACAAAGTTACTGGCTCTTTATGTGTCTCCAGGTAACTTTGCTTGATTAAACAGCAAAGCCATATTCTAAATTCACTGTTGAATGCCTGTCCCAGTCCAAATTGTCTGTCTGCTCTTATTTTTGTACCATATTGCTCTTAAAAATCTTGGTTTGGTACAATTCATATTTCACCAAAACTTCTTCATATAATTAAAAGACACTAAATTAGTTTAAAATGAAGCAATTTATATCTTTATGCAAAAACGTATGTCTGTCTTTGCAAAGGACTGTAAGCAGATTACAATAAATCCTTTACTTTAATCACCTGTTGTTCTGGAAACATTTCATTTGGGTGTCTGCAGGCACACCTGGACTTTGTGCCCCTCTACATCTGGAGAACATGCGCTTCTGCCTGCATCCAAGACAGTTCCCCCGTGATAGAGCCCCCATTAGACACATGTTAATTATACTCTTCTGGGACTAATTCAGTGCCTTGTTCCTTACTGCTGATAATATGTGGGTCACTAAAACAACCTGTAACAGTTTAGCAACAAGAACTGCCCACTATGTAGCCGCTAAACACTCCGTGCACATTGCCTCCTTTCTCTACTACCACAGGGAAGCTTGATCATCTGTCAGGCGTTGGGACTGACCTGAGTAGACCAGATGTCCCGTCTGACCAGTGTTCTTCCTCCACGCAGTCCTCTCGTGCTCCTTCACCCTGGGTCCTCTTGGGCCGACAAGAGACTCTGCTCCCCGCTGGCTGTAATGCTTCTCACACTCCCCTTGGTTTCACTCATTAATATGGACCACAGAAGAGCAGGAAACAATTATCAGCTCATCTTAAAACTACAAAACATGTGAAGATAAACTCAAGTACATTTTTAACGTGCCATTTAACTGGTGATCATTCAAACTATTTGCTTCCAGAAAGAGAAGACCAGTTGAGCATTAAACAAATTCAACTTCATTTTAACATGACAAAAAGACTTCTGGAACACAACATGGCCATGAAACACAGAACAGGAGAAAAAATGTTTTTAGAGTTGGGTTCACAAATTTGTTTATAAAATATTTATATATGCAGTTAATTTCTTCTCAAAGCTGACAGAATTTGACCTATTAAGGGGCAGCTGGAGACCACACCAATATGCACCCTTAAAGTGGGTATCCTTTCTGACTAGAGCAGACTCATTCTCACGAAAAGGGTGACACTGTTTCTAAGAATTTCTAAAAGTGCTCAGACGCAAAAAATCCAGCTGCATCTTGAGGAATCATTAGCTAAGAACAAAGTCTCTGCCACTAAGCCCGCCAGCCACTGTACACAAGAGCAGCAGAAATTATGCATGGTGATGCCTATGTAATTAGGGGTTTGTTTGCCTCTGTATGTTGAATGCCCCTCAAGCAAATAGAAAACATTGTCCCTTTATGTTAAAGTCAGTGCTAACATACTTTTTATAAACTGCAAGTGTACACAGACTAAAATGACTTGATTATGAGTATCTCTGGCACTTTAATTTCAAGTCTCCAATTGTTCGTGCAGCAGTTTTCTTGGAAATCAAACAGTGGCTTCCCAAACTCTGGAGTAGAGAAGATTACAATACGATTTGAATGGTCAGCATGGACCAAGACTATATCCAAGCCCGTACCCAAAGCAAAGTGAACTACCAAGCAGAGTAGCAGATAGTTTGCTGAAAAGAATCCCAAAATGTAGTGGGTTTTTTTTTGGGGTGGGGGGGGTTGTTTTTTGAGATTTTACTTATTTATTTGACAGAGAGATCACAAGTAGGCAGAGAGGCAGGCAGAGAGAGAGGGTGAAGCAGGCTCCCTGCTGAGCAGAGAGCCTGATGTGGGGCTCGATATCAGGACCCTGAGATCATGACCTGAGCCAAAGGCAAAGGCTTAACCTACTGAGCCACCCAGGAGCCCCAAAATGTGGTGTTTTAATGACCTTTTATTATGATGTCTCATGAGTTTATGAATCAGCTTGGAGGGTCCTGCTGATCTGGACCAGGCTTGGCTGAGTCAACCCTAATCGTGCTTCTGTAGTTAACCATCAGTGGACTGGTCTAGGATGGTTTTGCAATACTTTTCACGCCTCTGATTATATCCAGTTTGCTCCTGTTCCATTAGCCAAAACCGGTTATAAGGTCAAACCCTGAGTCAGCATAGGAGGGCTCTACAAAAGGGATGTGGATTCAGAGAGGGCTGAAATTTGGGATCATTAAATCAATCTACCACTGGCAATTACTCTGATGCTTTTTCACAGAACTGATGTTACCAGGACAGCACTTTCCAGTTTATTGGTGGTCTGAAAACCCCATTTCTTTGGCTCTTAATGCCCTGGGCCAGCCTGGTCCAGAGAGGGTCACAGCTCCTGGGAAGACTGGCTGAGCTGGGTCGGATCGTGCTCCTCCTGCTCTCTGAGTTGCTGTTTGCAGTGTTGCCTCATTTGCTAAATCCTCCAAGGAAGGAGAACTTCACAACACCAGCACATAGCACTGAGCTGCCTAAAGGAATCTGGTGTGTTAACTGTCCAAGTCCAAAGTGCGGGTGTCTTCTTGGGCAAAATGCAGAAGACTGCTTTCCAATTGAGTTGATCTCCTGATAGCAAGGAATTCCCCAAGGTATTCCTCTAACCAGTAGATTGAGACTTTTTGCAGACATGAGCATCAAGAGGCTATGTCAGGTTACCCAAGTGCGGTAGCAATAAATTACCACCCTGGCCAGTGAAGGAGAAAGAGTGCTGACAAGCTTCTGGGAAGACATTTGCAGAGCCACACACTCCTGGAATAACATCTTTGGGCAAGAGGAAGGAAGGGAAGTTGTGTGGCTCAGGCAGAT